AAATTAACGAAATGTTTATCATGATCCCTATTACTCTCTGGGAATCGAATTGGGTGGGTGGAACCATTCAATTTGCCTTTAAACGGCCAATTTACCAATTTTTAAATTGCATCGATTTCATTAATTCAAGCCTACCGCGAACATTTATGACAACAAATAATGATTATATATGGTTCCAACGGTATTATAAGACCCCGAGATGTATCCCCTAGAATTTCAAGACTATTCGACATCGGGCCGCGAAACCTCCAAAATTTCTCAAAAAGCATGGATATTAGTCTTCAATTTTGGAATTTTTTGCCTTTTTTTCGCCCGAAAATAAAAATTGCCGAAATGTTTACCATGGTCCCTAATACTCTCCGGGAGTCCAATTGGGTTGGTGGAACCATCCAATTTGCCTTTAAACGACCAATTTAATTACTGATTTACAACTTGCACGGATTTCATTAACTCAAGCCTACTACGAACATTTATGACAACATATAATGATCATATATGGTTCCAAACGACATTATATGACCCCGATATGTATCCCCTAGAATTTCAAGACTTTTCGACACCGGGCCCCGAAACCTCTAAAATTTCTCAAAAAGCGTGGATATTAGTCTTCAATTTTGGAATTTTTTTTACTTTTTTTCGCCCAGAAATAAAAATTGCCGAAATGTTTACCATGGTCTTTAATACCCTCCGGAAGTCCAATTGGGTTGGTGGAACCATCCAATTTGCCTTTAAATGGTGAATTTACGAGTTTACAACTTGCACCGATTTCATTAAATCAAGCCTTCTACGAACATTTATGACAACATATAATGATCATTTATGGTTTAAAACAGTATTATATGACCCCGAGATGTATCCCCTACAATCTCGAAGCTTTTTGACACCGGACCCCGAAACCTCAAAAAATTTTCAAAAAGTGTGGATATTAGCCTTCACTTTTGGAAATTTTTTGACTTTTTTTCTCTCAAAAATAAAAATTGCCGAAATGTTTACTATGGTGCCTAATACACTCCGAGAGTCCAATTGGGTGGGTGGAAGCATCCAATTTGCTTTAAAAGGCCAATTTACCGATTTACAACTATCATCAATTTCATTAACTCAAGCTTACCACAAACATTTATGACAACATATAATGATCATTTATGGTTCCAAACGACATTATATGACCCCTAGATGTATCCCATAAAATCTAATTTTTTTTCGACAGCAGGCCCCAAAATCTTCCTACTTTCTAAAAAAGCATGGATCCTTTAATTTTGGAATTTTTTGACATTTTTTCGCATGGAAATAAAAAATGCCGAAATGTTTACCATGGTCCCTAATACTCCTCGGGAGTCCATTTGGGTGGGTGGAACCATCCAATATGCCTTTAAACGACCAATTTACCGGTTTACAACTAGCAACGATTTCATTAACTCAAGCCTACCACAAACATTTATGACAACATATAATGATCATATATGGTTCCAAGTGGCAATATATGACCCCGAAATGTATCCCCTAAAATTTAAAGGCTATTTGAGACCGGGCCCCGAAACCTCCAAAATTTCTCAAAAACCGTGGATATTAGGTTCAATTTTGGAATTTTTTTACTTTTTTTTTCGCCCGAAAATAAAAATTCCCGAAATGTTTACCATGGTCCTTAATAACCACCGAAAGTTCAATTGGGTGGGTGGAACCATCCTTTTTGACTTTAAATGGCCAATTTACCGGTTTACAACTTATTGCACCGATTAAATTAACTCAAGCCTAATATGAACATTTATGACAACAAATAATGATCATATATGGTTCCAAACGACATTATATGACCCTGAGTTGTATTCCCTAGAATCTCAAAACCTTTTGATACTGGGCCCCGAAACCTGTAAAATTGCTCAAAATGCGTGGAAATTAGCCTTTCATATTGGAATTTTTAGACTTTTTTTTCGCCTGAAAATAATAAATGCCGAAATGTTTACTATGGTCCCTAATACCCTTCGGAAGTCCAATTAGATGGGTGGAACCATCTAATTTGCCTTTAAACTGTCTATTAACCGGTTTATAACTTGCACCGATTTCATTAACTCAAGCCTACCACGAACATTTATGACAACAATTAATGATCACATATGGTTCCAAACGTCATAAAATGACCCCGAGATGTTTCCCCCTAGAATTTCAAGACTTTTCGATACTGGGCCCAAATCCTCCAAAATTTCTTCAAAAGCGTGGAATTAGCCTTCAATTTTGAAAATTTTGACATTTTTCCGCCTGGATATAAAAATTGCCGAAATTTTTACCGTGGTCCCAAATACCCTCCGGGAGTCCAATTGGGTTGTTGGAACCATCCAATTTGCCTTTAAACGACCAATTTAGCGGTTTACAACTTGCACCGATTTCATTATCTCAAGCCTACCATGAACATTTATGACAACAAATAATGATCATATATGGTTCCAAATAGCATTATATGACCCCGATATGTATCCCTTAAAATTTCAATATTTTTCGACACCGAGCTCCGAAACCTTCAAAATTTCTCAAAAAGTGTGGATATTAGCCTTTAATTTTGGAATTTTTGACTTTTTTTTCGCCTATAAATAAAAATTGCTGAAATGTTTTTCATGGTCCCTAATACCCTCCGAAAGTCCAATTGGGTTAATGGAACCATCCAATTTGACTTTTAATGGCCAATTTAGTTGCCGGTTTACAACTTGCACGAATTTCATTAACTTAAGTCTACTACGAAAATTTATGATAACATATAATGATCATATATGGTTCCAAACGACATTATATGACCCAAAAATGTATCCCCTAAAATATAAATACTTTTCTACACCGGGCCCCGAAACCTCCAAAATTTTCAAAAAGCGTGGATATTAGCCTTTAATTTTGAAATTTTTTGATTTTTTTTCGCCCGGAAATAAGAATTGGCGAAATGTTTACCATGTTCATTAATACCCTTCGGGAGTCCTATTGGGTGGGTGGAACCATCTAATTTTCCTTTTAACGACCAAATTACCGATTTACAACTTGCACCAATTTCATTAATTCAAGCCTACCACTAATTAACATTTATGACAACAAATAATGATCATATATGGTTCTAAATGGCATTATATGACCCCGAGATGTATCCCATAGAATTTCAAGACTTTTCGACACCTGGCCCTGAAGTCTCCGAAATTTCTCAAAAAGCATGGATATTAGCCTTTAATTTCGGAATTTTTTAACTTTTTTTCGTCTGGAAATAAAAATGGCCGAAATGTTTACCATAGTACCTAATACCCTCCGGGAGTCAAATTGGGTGTGTGAAACCATTCAATTTGCTTTTAAACGGCCAATTTACCGGTTTACAACTTGCACCGATTTACCGGTTTACAACGACCAATTTAATTAACTTAATTGCACCGAACTCGACTTGAACCGAAATTTACCCAAACCCGTTTTAACCCATCAAAACCCGAATGTAACCCGACTTGCTACGAACCTGACCTTACTTCAACTCGACCCGTTCCTAACTCGACCGAATTTAACCCAATTTGTTAAAAACCCGATCCGAAATCAACTCGACTTGTTATTAACATGACCTAAATTCAACCCGACTTGTTATTGACCTGACCAGAATTTTACCATACCTATTACTTACCCAATCCAAAAATTCAACCCGGTCTATTACTAACCCGATTCGAGATTAACATGACTTGTTATTGACCCTACTTAAATTCGATTCAAATTGTTATGATCCGATTTCAAATCACATTAAATGCAATTTAGACCACCTTATTATTGTTAATCAAAGCATTTTGTCTCGGGAGACCAAGTCGGTCCAGGCCAGCAAAAGAAAGGAGCATCATCCTCAAATTTAATAGTTAAATATAGTATATATTTTTTGTATAGTCAAAGGAGATAATTATCTTCCTAAATTATAGACTATAGTTCCCTAGTATATTGCCATATATATTATAACCAAAGGAAATAATTAGCTTGATAAAAATAATAATTATCTATTTATAATTAATTGAACCCGAATATGACTTGACTTGGAAATGACCCGACCTGATTGTAACCTGCAAATTATTCACTTGAACATAACCCGACTTGAATCCGAGAATGACCCGACCTTGAAATGATTAAACCTGATTATAACCCGCAAATTATTGACTTGAACCGAACCCGACTTGAACTCAAGAATGACCCGACTTGAAAATGACCCGACCTGATTATAGTCCGCAAATTATTGACTTGAACAGAACTCGACTAATGACCCGACCTGATTCTAACCCGCAAATTATTGACTTGAACCGGACCCGATTCGAAACCGAGAATTACCCTAACCCGTTTTAACCGGTGAAAACCCGAATCAAACTCAATCTATTGTTCACCCGACCCGAATGTAACCCGATCTGTTATTAACCTGACCTAAACCCGATAAGAAATATGACCAGACGTGATCCGACTCAAGCATGACCCAACCCAAACCCGACCCGCATAGGTTATAGAATTAATCTGAATTGACCTGACCCAAACCCGACCCGTTTACCCGAATTGACAGCTCTAGCTATTACGAGCAAAATTCTACTCCGTATCATAAAACCAATTAATGTGACAATGAGTTGCTTGCTAGATTTATACACTAGTCATCCCTCTCTTCCTTCAAGTAGGACAATTATGCACAACTTGCACGTGGACTATTATTTTACCAAATTGATAGCTGCATCATTAATTATTATTCTCTCTATCCCTGAATAATTGACAAGGTTTTTTTTTTTTTTTGTTTATTATCACTTTTAACCTCTTTTAATGCTATTACTATATATATAAAATAAATAAAATGTTAATAATTATTAATTACTAATTAATAAGTTGAAGAGGGTCAAAGTTGAAAAAAAAAGTCAACGGCATCAATTATTATGAGATCGAAAGAGTATGAAACTAAAGTCGAGGAGAAAAGTATATATGAAAGGAAAGGAAAGGAAAGTAGCATGAGAAACATAAAGAATTTTCTTTCCCTCAAAACAGAGGTCACCTTCTTTGTCTACATGAAGCATTGGAATAATCCAATTTGAAAGCAAATTAACATGCAAGAATCTCTCTAATAAGTCATAAATTTCTATAAATATTTCCAATTAAACCAAATGTAAGCATTCATCACAAACAACAAATAATTCTATTAACAACATCCTTATCAACAATAAGAAATCAAGATGATGTCCAACACTTCTGAGCGCAAGTATGAAGATTTCGAGCCTGTTTCAGATTTGTTATCTGAAAAAGAATGTGACACCTTACTTCTTTATCTCCCAGGTAACATAACTTCTTGCTTCTTTCAACCTTTGTATATCGTCTATTATAGGCTCTAGAGGTGGCAAATAGATCTTTCGGATTGGATTTAGTATTGGTTGAGTCATTCAGCTCGATTTATTAATGTTAGTTATATCGGTTTAAACAGGTATAGCTAACCTATTTGAATGCTTAAGGCTTAATATGTCCATATAATGAAACTATAAATGCAGGTTTTAGGAAGGAGCAACTGAAGGTTCAATTAACAACATCGCGAATCCTAAAAATAAGTGGAGAACGTCCAATTGGTGACAACAAATGGAAGCGTTTTCACAAGGAGTTTAACGTGCCATCGAACATTGATTTGAAGGATATGACTGCTAAATTTGAAGGAGGCATACTTTACCTCAGGCAACCAAAGTTGATCACACCAGCAACAACTGAACAGAAACATGATGAAGGGAAAACTGCTGCAGAAGCAGAACATCCTGCACCACAGCCTCAACACGAAGCTCCTACAGAGGGAAAGACGAAGCAGAAAGACAAAGATGATAATATGGAGAAGAAAGAAAAAGATGAGACCCCTGCCAAGGATCACGAGGGAAGCAAAGTAAAACAAGAGTTAAATGAGATTCGTAAACAAGTTGGGGGTCGTAGTGAGCTTTTTAAGGAGCTAAGGAAGTCAGGAACACAGAAAAGGCTTGCTGTTTATGTTATTCTGATTCTGGTTCTAGGCTTCCAAGCTATCAAGATGTTCAAATCGTTCACCAAGGTTGAAGAGAAAAGTGTTATGGAATACGATCATCACGAACTCTAAGCTTCTAAATCCCAAAAAACGAGATGCAGCAGGAGTACTACTACTTCCAGATGGACACAAAAAAGTTCATTTAGTCCTGAAATGCCATCCTCTGACCTGTATATCACACTAGATTTCATCTGAAATCGCTGACAATTCTTACCCAACATGCAATTTCAAGCAATAAAACAATAACTGCTATGTTTTTCTTGATAATGCCAGTTTGTTATCCTCATTAATAATAACTCAAGTTCTGATTACTGTTCTCAAACCAGTATAATGGTGGTGCATACAGGATAACCAAGGATATTGCACGAGCTGGGCTTGGAGCACCATCTTGATTTTCTTGGTTAAAAATTTAAAATTATACTTTCCTCACCTCAAATTAAGGTGACAATTAGAGACGACTGATCATAGATAATTAAAAATAATGATATGAAACAGCAGAAAACTGCATCAGAGAAAATAAGGTTCACACCTGGTCCTCCATTAAAGATTACAAACAACTCTCAATGTCTTTTTTCAATCAGATGTCTGTTAAAGAAAGGTTATCTAAGAATCTAACTGATTCCCAGATAAAAAATACGTAGTATAAGTTATGTAGTATAAATTAATCATTACTTCATTACTTGCCTTTCTCATTTGGGAAATCCAGGCTCACAGCAACCCATTTGTTCTCACAAACTTGCAGCACAGTAACCCCCTTGGGAAGATTAGCTATTTCTGGAACATAGGAGTAGACTCTGACCCGGTTGCAAAGCAAGAAACTGGTCGCTTCAGGATCTTTCTGCTTCTCTGAACCCGAAGATTTATCAGCTGAAGCTAAAGCCTTTTCACCTGACAAATAGAAATTTCCCCAGTTTTACCTAATAGCACAAATAAGTTGTTTATAACAAGATTTAAAAACTATGCAAACTACAGGGGTTGCTTGGAGTAAATTTACCATAATTCACAAATAATCCAGACAAAAAACTTTCCTGACTAAATCCTAAAGGAAACTATGTTCAGTGCAGGAAACCTGAGAATGGCCCCAATGCTAGACAACTGTGCAAAGTGCTCTACTGAGACATGCATTAGTTAATTTCTTTTACATCTAAATGCTACTTTTAGTAGACTAATTTCTTCACATATATCTTCAAGTGAATGTATAAGGAGGTACAAATCTACCTATATTTGAACATTACTCCGTATATTAATAAAATTACCTCATAATCCCATATAGATACTTTTCTGTAATCCTTAACATGTAGGCTTACATGACATAGAAGCATAGACAAATGTATTAAAACACATAACAGTAAAACAGACTGAAACAGATGCAAACGGCTAAGTTTTTTCTTGATAGCCAAAAAAAAATGACAGTTTAATTCTGAATTCTGTAAGGGACTTACCCTTGATAAGAAAACCATCATCTTCTGTAGGATTGATCTTTCCGTGCTTTTTGGATTTGGATTTGGGTTCTCTTCCTTCAGCTAACTTAGGTCCAGTGTCCTGTTTAAAATAACAAATGCAAACCATGCAATCATATTTTATCACAAAGTTGATTACAAAACAAAGTATAACGTGATCAATTTTGTTATATGATTGATTGTTCTATTGTAACCTGTGGAAATTCTTCAAGGGACAATGAATTCATATCAAGCCTGGCAGCTTCCATCTCTTTTTCTTGTTGATTAGCATCAGACTTTGAATTCTTAAAGCTGCAATTTCCGACTAAAACAGAAGTACTGTTCTGATGCTCTTGCTTAACTTCTGGCATTGTCTTGGTAACTGCTTTGATTATGTTAACATATTGTTAGATAGCAAGAATTTCAGACATCAAAAGTTCATCAAAACCAAACTGAAATTTCTCTCCTTCTTTGGATTTGGCAGGAAGAATACTCTTATTGGTTTCCTTCATCTTTGATCCATCTTTGGAGATTACATGTCCTAGTGCAACAATAATGTGAGAGCCTTGTGCAATAAATCAATAACATTCCTATAAAAATCTATAAAGGATAAAGTTTTGAATTACGGAGCATCAACAAAAAAAATGTTTTCTAAGAGATTTTGGAAGAAAAGATAATTTTGTGACTAATAATTAAGTGTATAAGATTTTGAGTTTCCATGTTTCAGAAACAAGATATAAAACCATCATGAGGGACAAGAGTTTCCATGCATCGAAAGCATAAGAGTATAACAAGCAGAGTACAGAAAACAAATCTGAACTGAATAATGACTAAAATAATCCGGTGTCAGGTTTGTACCTGGATATGGACGAGCAGAAGACAGAGAGATGAAATGAATTAAAGCAGCTTCAGCAGCTTTATTTTGAGCCTCTTTCACCGATTTGCATAAAGTAGGCGAGTCAAAGGAGGAGCCATTGACAAACACCGAGGCTGTGAAGAACGGATTGTGGTCAGGACCATCCTTGATGACCGAATACTTAGGATATGTCCATGATTTTACAACACACATTTCCTGTAACTTTGATTTGTACATGGCTGTTTTTTCTTATTCGTCAACCTCTGTGTTTCAGAATGTTAGCCTTGCAGGAAATGAGAGCAGAAAGGGCTTAATTCTTCAGGGACTCCTGATATGAAGCACTTTGATACTATTATTGGCTTTGAAGAGACAAATTCTGGAACAAAATGCTTCCTGTGTGTTTGTACTTGAACTAAATGGCTAATTGCCAACTGTAAAATTTCTGAATTATAACACTGTCCATAAATGTCAAATATCTTTATATTGCTATAACCTCTAAGTTTTAGAGATTTTTCTTCTAAAGCAAAAATGGATTTATTGCAGCCTGATTTTAATTTTACTTATAATGATATTGAATGACATTGCAACACATAAGAGGTTAGAACACACCCGCAGACTTTTTTTTTTCCGTTCTAAAAGCGCAAATGAGTAATCATTTGGAATTCTTAGTACCAAGTAGAGGCTAGACGTAGGTAACACCAGGGAATAATAGATGAATTGGAACAAGGAGCTAACAGCATACAAGTATACAACAGGAATTTTTGTATTTATAAACTCATGCTCACAATTTGAACAGCTCATGAGGTGCCTTCAAGTGATTACAAGAAAAGAAAAAACATGAAAGAAAAAGAAAAGAGAAGGAAAAAAAAAAGAATAAGGTAACATTAAAAAAAGTTGCAAATGAAAAGCAAACCGATCTCAGTTGTTACAGTGAAAACCTTCATTCCTTCCGTTCACGTTTTATTTTTTTCAATTAGTAGAGACGATGTTGCTCACTTACTGCTGGCAAGCTGTGTGCGAACAGTCTTGGCAGCAGCAACCATGTTGCTAAGGGCTGGCTTGACTTCAGCATACTTCCTTGTCTTCAGACCACAGTCAGGGTTAACCCAAAGAACGTGAGACTCAAGGACAGCAAGCATTTTGGAGACACGGTCCACAATTTCTTCTGTGGACGGGATTCTTGGGGAGTGGATGTCGTAAACACCTGGGCCAATGCCAGCACCATATTTGACACCCTCACGGAACACAGAAAGGAGTTTCTCATCTGATCTAGAGTTCTCGATGGTGATCACATCAGCGTCCATGTTGATAATAGAGTGGATGATGTCGTTAAAATTTGAGTAGCACATGTGGGTATGAATCTGCAGGTCCATGAACCAAATTCCCACGAAAAGAGGGGAAGCAAAAAAAAAAAATGCAATATACAAGTATCAGATAAGTTGTTTATAGCAATCCAAAGTAAAGAATAATTTGCTTAAGCATTGATCAAATTAAAGTAGCCAAAAATTCAAAAAGACTGAGAACCTGAGTTGTGTCTTGAACCCCACAATTGGTAATCCTAAATGAGTGGACAGCCCAATCCAAGTAGAAAGGCTGCTCAGACTTCCTCAAAGGCAAACCCTCTCTTAAAGCAGCTTCATCAATCTGGATGACATTAATTCCAGACTTCTCAAGATCCTCAACCTCATCCTTGATGGCCAAGGCAATCTGATAGCAAGTCTCAAACCTGAAGAAGGTAGAAAGGAAATGTGTTTACAGAATTGTTAGAGACAGCAACAGCACTCAGTTTGGATTAAAAGAAAAATGCACCAACAAAGCAGCTCAGTCAGAGTCGGGAACACATTGTTACCTAGGCTGATCATTTCGGACAAAAGACCAGTTCAAAATTGTAACAGGGCCCGTGAGCATTCCCTTCATGGGCCGTTTTGTCATGCTCTGGGCCATTGTGGACCAGAAGACTGTCATGGGATTCGGACGGCTCACATCACCATAAATGATGGGAGGCTTGACACATCGAGACCCATAAGATTGGACCCATCCGTTAACAGTGAAAGCAAAACCAGATAGTTGTTCCCCAAAGTACTCAACCATGTCATTCCTCTGCATCAAAAATAAGCATTAGACATGATTTCTAGACGTAAAACAAGGAAAACAGCAAAATTTACAACCTAGGATGAGCTCACCTCTGGTTCTCCATGGACCAAAACATCTATGTCAAGCTCTTCTTGGAGTTCGACAACCTTTCTAATCTCTTCCTTTATAGCCTTCACATATTCTTCCTCAGAGATCCTAACACATTCAGGTAAGAACACTTGGCAACGCAAACTCTGTAACAATATAAAACATTTCTTAGCTCCAAGAAAATTAACTCACTTGTTAGCCTTGAATTCACGGCGGACTCTTCTGAGATCCATGGTTTGGGGGAAAGAACCAATTGTGGTGGTAGGTAGGAGTGGAAGGTTAAACTTCTTCTGTTGAGCCTCCAACCTGGCACTTACATTTGTGGCACGACGATGATCAGATCCCCTCAAGGCAGCAGCCTAGGCAGCATAGAAAATATCAGCATGAGAAATGAGAAATATTACAACTGCAACAGAGGATAAAGAGAGGTTAAATGCACATACTGCCTTCTGCACTGCCTCATTAGTCACTCTAGGGGAGGATTTTCTTGAAGCTTGAGCAGCAGAATTTGATGAAAAAAAGGCCTGCAATGGGGATGATAGTTAATGAACCAGGCCTTTAAACAACAGAGTTGACAAAGAACATTCATGATCCCGCATGACTTTAAAAATCCAGATTTGACATTTAGGCACAGTACTGCATGTCTTAATTGAATAATTCTTAAAGAAGAAACCAACATTAAGATTATAATACCAACATTAAGATTATAACTATATATATATTTTTTTTTACGAATGACCACTGCCCTACAAATTATAGTGAATGATAAGATCTCACCTCATTTTTCTCACCAGACAATGCCTTAGCCAAGGCGTTCACCTCAACAATTTTTTGAGCAGC